GGGTTATCTGATGTTTGCCCATTGGCTAATGACCTGTGATTGACAAGTGATTAACCAGTGTGTATGCAGTTTCACATTCAGACCCGCCCATCTCTCGTCACACCTGGCTTCAAATTACTCATCTTTATATTTCAAAACATGACTTCAGAAATCGATGGATGACATCATGGTAGCCAGCGTCTTTGGCTAGCCTTTTTCATGGTCATTTCCCATAGAATCCCATTTTAAAAGGTATATCTACAGCCTGCTAGAGAAAACGTATTATTATGCTACACACACATCTGGCAAACAGTTACTCAGCTTTGTCTCGCTACCAATCTGTTGTCATTAGGATGAGAATCGCTATCACGAGGACATCTTTGGTGTCACCCTGCGCACCTACGAGGTCACCAACCGTATTCGTTCAGAGTCCATAGCCTACATTGAGGAGAGCAAAAAAGACTCAGATGAGTAAGTGTTCTACATTTCCAGTATTTTTTTGTTTCTTTTCATATTTAGTATGTTACAAAACTGTTCTGAAATGTCAGTAAAAGTCAGAAGAATCTTTTCTTTGGTAAAATATTTTTCATGGGTAAAATAAATGACTGATGATTCACTGTGAATTCATGCTAACTTCTAATTAATCATGAGGAAAGGCTTTGTGAAAATCAGTTCTTTATTTAATATTAAGAAAATATAGAAAAATGTATTCCATCATCAAAAAAACAAACAAATAAAAAAAACAGAAAAGGATTCATATCAACTATTTTTCTATTGATCATTCACTCATTCACATCCGTACAGTAAAATCAGGACCAATTACCACTGTGGAAAAGCCCATTCATATTTATGTCAATATTGCAACTACAAGAGCAGCTATATCTCAGAAACATTTGTAAGTCAACTTCAATCTGCAACCTGTAGTTGCTGGCGACAACAATGTGTTGTCATCACTAGCTTCAGATGAAAACAGAGCAGGTAACCATAGAAACCTGTGGAGAAGAGCATTTAAACTAACAGGATTAGAGTGAAAGCGAGTGGCTCTGCTCCATTTCTGTTTTTGTTTCCAGCGTTATTTGTGCATATTCAAGATTAGACACTTCATATACCCTCGCCATAAGAGCAAAACAAGGGCCCTACATAGCCACTATGGCTCATTAACCACCAACAAAATGCATCACAGACGATGGTTCCTGTGTGGATTGTCACTTGAATTTCACATTCGGCCATCAAAGCCCCTGCTTGCTGGATGAGTAATGACTGTAACATCTCTATTTCCATGTCTCTGTTGCTCTTTCTGTCTGTCTGTCTGTCTGTCTGCCTGCCTGTCTGTCTGTCTGTCTGTCCTTCGCACTTTTTTTCTCTTCAGGGTTTTCTGCTCGTAGGTCGATGAATCGACAGGCTTTCTGAAAACAACAAGACACAGCACCGCTGGTTTACTAATACTGTGCCAATTTTTGTACTGTAAAAAATGGGTTTGTTTGTGTTCTTTTTTTTATATACCATTTTAATGTTTCTGTTGGGCTCTGCGATCTTGTCTGTAGCAAGTTGGAAATGTTCTGTTCTTTGAGAATCTGTTTTTGCTTGTTGATGATACTTCCAAAAATGATCTAGTGTAATGACCTGCCTCATTGTGAATGCATGACCAAGACAATATATTCAAGAAATATAATATACTCTGTGTTATTGTTACTGTTAAAAGGCTTTTATTGAGGTTTTATATTTGCAAGGAAATGTGTGGCATAGATAGTAAACTTTCATTTCTGTGTGGATTAAGTCAACTTTACTTGTTGGGAAAGTATAAGGACTGCTCAAATATATTTGGACTGTTTTTCATTATCAATATCAATCTCTTTAGTCCTTGACTAAGAAAAAGAAAAGATGTATAGGCATGCAGACAGAGAAACTGAAGGACACGTGCTGCGGACAAATTTAACGTATTGACAGGTATCCCTGAATAATGAAAACATAAATTCTGCCACTGCCTCCATAAACAGATTACCTTGCTCTTCATTGGCAATTCTTCAAAATGCATCAGCCTCTGTGCGAGTGCCATTTTTCTTAGTGTGCTCATTCTGCCATCGCATCATAATCTTTTGGGTCCCAGGTGGTGTTTGCTGAAACTGCAGCACTAATGTGCAGGGCAGCCACTAAAGACCAAACGTGAGTCAATATATCTTAAAAATAAACTTCAATGATAAACTATTAACAAAAATATAGGTCTTGAGGGCTTTTTAATTTAACATCTAAATCGTACTATGTTCAATGTGGTATAACGTATTATAATGTGTTAAATTCTAAATGTCGCGGAGGATTTTTTTTATTTTTCATCAGCTGTTTGGAATAAGCTGTAGAGTAAATGACTAATCGGTGAGTAAATGAATAAGTAACAACTTAAAAGAATTGTTCGATATCATGGAAAATACATTAATTCACTCCAATAGGCTATCTCAGTGGCAGCTGTTTAAAACTTTGTTAAGATGTGTCCTAGATTTTGTTGTGTTTCATTGCAGCAAAGGTTGTCCAACTAAAACACAAGTCTGAAGAAGAAACGTATTTATGGGTACCTGATGTCCAGAATTAAAATGCTGCTGATATCAACAGATTGGTCTAGCAAGGCTGTTTCCCCCATTTCCAGGTCTTCTTACCCCTAATTGCCCATAAATCAAGTTTACTATTTTTACACTTTGGTTTTTGTACAGAATAAACTAATTAAATATAACATGTTACTCAGTGAGCTTTAATCGTGCCGTATTTGCGACCTTTGTAGAGAGCCTGTTTCCAGTCTGTATGCTAAGCTACACTAAATGGTTCTTGGCTGTAGCTTTGTATTTGCTGTAAAAACACAATATTGGTATTGATCTGTTCATTTTATTCTCAGTAAAATAGAAAGAGCCTTTTCCTTAAAACTCAAGTAATCCGTAACAAAACGTTGTTACTGAAGGGGAAAAGATGCTGCCCAGTTCGTATCTGACAGCTGTCAACTTGCTCCACTTATCACCTATTGAGCCTTTAAAATATCTATTTAACAGCATCATATCTCCTCTGCCTCTTGCCTTACATTAACACTTTGCCTACGTTTATGCATTCATCCTTTCAGTTTTTTTCTCTGCATGTTTGTGCTACCTTGTGGCTCACGCGCCACCCCTTCACTGTGACCTGACACCTGCTCAACGGCATCAGCACGCATGTGTGTATGCATGCATATGTGTGCCCTTGAAATTATCATAAGTGTGCGCATCTCTATATACGAGTGGGTGTAAAACATGCATGATCTCAGGTGTGTGTTTTTACATGATTATTCTACTTGTCTGTTACCTTGTCAAACTGCTTCGATTTTTAAAATAAGCATGAGTACCCTGCTCTGAGTCACACAAGCCTGCAGATTTAATGTTACAGATGGTGTTTTGGTAACAGAAAGCTGCCCACATGGCTTTTAGTTTTGATCGCAGCAGTTCGGTTCTATTGTTTTAAGTTCCAGCGAAGTTTCATCCAGAGACAAGAGGCAATCACACTGCCACTGTGGTCATTTGCTGCTTTCCAACGAGTCAGGGTTGTAATTTGAAAATGTATGTGCAGGGGCCACATTGTTTTTTTGATCACCCACTTTGCATTAACCTGTGGCTTTTTCTTGTCAGCTTATGTGTCTTGTTTATTCCCTTTCTTTGTCTTTATTTCAAATTAAAGATAGCTGTCAGCATGCCTAATTGATTTCATTGTGATTTTTAAATGTCCCTTCCAGTTGCTGAGAGTACTTTTTTGTTTTTCTGATTTTGCTATGTTATAGTTGGGAGATAATGGGTGGGTCCTATTTTCCCTGCTGTTGTTCATTTTGGATGAATGTCTGCTCTGATTTATTTAAACACATTTAGTTGAACTGGAATGAAAGCTGTCAAGAAAATGTCTGTTGTGTAAAATGTGCAAACAGAAAAGAATATTATATATAGCTTCTATACATATATATAAATATCAAAAGACAAAGTATAAACTATAAAAACTACCACTACAATCTTTTCTAAGAATGTATTTTGATTATGTAAATGAGCACTTTGATTCTGCTTGATTTAAAAGGAACAAAAAAAGGCCTATTCTTTGTCGTGTCTGTCATATCCTTTAGGTATGAGGGTAAAACAGCAGCATTAAACAAATGCATGATACTTTGTCTCCTGTTCATATTTAAAAAGCTCTGTCTCTTTACCAGCACTGTGTCAGTTAGTGAGACTGTTTTGAGCTTGTCTGGCCTGTCTCACGGGGCCCTGGACTGTAACAACTTTGTTGAGAGGTTCTTATTTTTCGGTGTTTGCGTATCGCTGCTGCTATGAACAACTCTGATCCAATCAGCCTCTGCTATAATGACCTTTGTTGTGTACTTAATTGAGGGTATTCCATTTAATGCATCAGCTGCAAGGACTTTGCATTTACTTACAAATAAAGAGAAACATTTACAGAATATGTAAACACATTTGCTTGGTTTGTTTTTCTTGTTTATATAAGAAAGAAACCAGAGTGGAAAGGTTTATTCAGCCAGTAGAAAGTGTTTAAGGTTGAGGCATTTTAGTTCGGGGGTGAGGTGCTCAGTTTATGAAGCAAACAATCCATTTACTTCCCCCTCCTCCTTTTCCTCCTCCTGTAAATGTTGGTTGTCATGGTTGAAAGAGTCGGCACTCAGAGTACTGAGAGTGCCATGACAACCTGTCAACAAATCAAGCCATCCAAACATGACAAAAGAACTCTGATTGGTGACTTACAGTCAGGTAGTGAAGTCCTAGCCTTTTTAATTACCACAGCAGAGTTTGCCAAGACCTTTAAGTAAGCTCTGTTGCGAGAAGACATAGTGCACCAAATCCTGCTGAAATTCAGTGCAGTGATTGAGCTCACAACGCAAATATTTTACTTGCCGTTTGGATCTAAAAGCACAAAAAAAGGACAGAAGGAAAAAAGAAAGAAATTACTAAGGAATTTCTGCATAAAGGTAGCAAAATAGTTGTCTTAGTATCAATATTACAGCTATTATCAGTGTCATGCTTCATGGGAAGAAGTTGGCCAAGCAGGTGCTGCTGCCGTCTGTGCTGGAAGACGATGACGCAGAAACAGAAAGTGGGAAGCTGCAGCTGGGGGAGGTAGGAAACCGACTATGCAGCCAAGTTTGCAAACTCTTGAGCAAGGGAAGTGTGAACGACCAGGTAGGTAAGATTAGATTCTTGAGACTGTTCAAAGGCAGAATTTCAAAAAGCTCGAGATTAAATAAGATATAGGAGACGGACTTTGGGTGAGAACTGAAAGCATGTTATAGACCTGTAAGAGCATAAAAGAGCATAATAGGTTTTAGAAATTGAGATCTTAACCAAATCTCTAGGCACGTCTAAGCACTTTCCTTGCCCTGGGCAAGGAAACACAGCCTCAAACGTACAGACTAAAGACCTGCTGCTTCCTTTTATAAACTGCTCTTTTGACCTGTGTACTCACATGAATGTATTTAAAAGAAGGGGCCTCAAAGTCATGTCCTTGTGTTTTAATTACACTTTTGGGTCCCACTGTATGAGAAATTCACTATCAGAGCTGTGCCCGAACATGTGCAGGACCTGTTCTGCTATGCTAACTAATTCTACTTATATATTCGGGAAATAACAATATAAAGCATCACTGACTGAGACATATGTGAATGTACCATAAGCTTAGAAATAAAAGGAGTGAAAGAGAGCAAAAATAGCTTGTGGTTGAAGAGGTTAAAGAGAGGTGGGAAGAATGGAGTGGGAGGATAGGGAAGTACTTTCAAAGATTATAAAAACAGAAGGATACGATCTTAAAGACACAAGCCCACACTGATGAACTAAACACTGTAGGTATTGGTTTTATTCTCCTGGCAGTAAAATCAATCAACTCTGCTCACACAGGCAGCGTACAACAGACAGGTTTGACGAGTCACGATGTCTTACTTTCTCATTTTCCATCTAGCCAAGAATGAGCCAGACAGAGGTTGATATGCGTGGGCCAAAAGACCAACACTCAAGCCCTGACAGGAACGTGCTAGACAGAGGCACAAGACACGAGGAAGACGAAGAAAAGGAGCCTGAAGTACAGGAGTGCCTGAGCTCTGATGAGGACTATGATACAGATTTGGAGCTCGAAGGTATAATTTAATTTTGGCAACCAAAAGGAGATCAATTGGGTGGGAATGTTACAATATTTTATCATGTTTTGATAGCAAGTCTTAATTTGCACTTGTTCACACCATCTAAGATAAGGCAAAGCCCTTTTGTCACCCATCTGTTTTTTTCCGATCTGCCTTTCCATTTCCTCAAACACCAAATGACTTTTAAAAAAAAAGACACTCCTACATGCACCCACCCACATATGTGGAGTCCTATTCTGCATGTTAATGATTTCATCTCAGTCTTTGTGTCAGGCTTCCTTTTCACCAGAAATGAAAACCATCTGGTATGAATGAGCTTTCCTGACAGGGCAAAATCAACAACAAGGGATATTTCAATGTCCCACTCAAAAGGTCCTTCAATGGGAAAATGTGCAATATCACTCCTTTTTACACAAAAGGTACGGAGCGTGAACGACTGAGACAGAGTGCTGTCTTTATGTTGCAGGTAAGGAGGCGGCATACGATCTGACGAGGCAGACATGCTATGTGACAGCGTGTAAAAAGTTCCGGGTGGTCCCTGCCTCTTATTTCCTGCAGCATATGCAAAATAGCACACTGGTTATGATGCATCGTGGCCTGGGGCCTCAGGTATAGTAAAAAATAAGACAACATTTTTAAAATTATTAGAAAGACAAAAAGGCTGATACTTTCATGGAAGGCTTTGGAGTTTGAGTTTCTGGTGACAAAAGAAAAGATTGTCAATAGTGCAGGGGAAGATGATTAATTTCTTTATTCTGTAGCTCTTTTTCTCCCTAAATGTTCCTATTTTATTATTGTTTTAAGAAATATGTTTATTGTTAGTATCATAAGTAATAATAATGCAGTAATGATAATAATAATATTACCAACAAAAACATTTATACATGTTATTAATAAGCGCATCTACAGTATTATGAAAAAAAAAAAGTATTGGGCCACCTCTTAAACCTTTAAATGTCATGATGATAGGGAGAATTTTTAAAGTGGTCTTGAACAGTTCTCCAGGGTTTCTGAACGTCTTTCAAAGGCTTTCATTGGACATTGGCTGCTTTTTCATTTTTAGTCCAGTCCTTTTACTTGACCATTTTCAGAAGAATGTTTTTTCTGTGTTTAGTACTGACCTATGAATCACTCAGGCACAATGAATCAATGAAACAGTGAACTCATTTTAAATTTTATCTTTAGGCACTTTGTTGCTATCAGTTGGTTGTAAAATACATTAAGTACAGGAATAAATTAAGTTAGCACAGTGATTTAGCCAGGTACAAAGCGAGACACTTTTGTGATACAGAAAAGTCTCACTTTAAATTCCAAGTAGCTTGCAAAACCATTAATCTTAGTTTGTAGTGCACCTGTGAAACCTACCCCTCCTGGAGCTGGGTTCTGCCAAAGGTTTCTTCCTGTTAGTCCTGTAAGTCTAGGCCACTACAAAACCTTCATTTTTGTCAGCTGTGGTTTTTGTGAAGACTGGCTGTGTATCAGGCAGGAGTAGGACCCAAAAGCAGGACATATAAACACAAGGGGTAAACTAAAAGCAGCTTTATTTAACTGAAAGTAGGTACAAAAGTCAGAAAACATGTAAAACCACATCAATGAGACTTCAGGGGCAATATACTGCAAGGGAGGGCAAAACAATGAGGAACAACACCACAAAAAACAAAGGGAGATTCTGATCATATATACATGTCAGGTAATTAGGATTAGAACACAGCTGAACAGAATCTAGCTAATGAGACAAGGTGGAAGGAGGAAAACTGAACATCGCATACACAGCACAGGAGACTATCAAAATAAGACAGGAAGTAACACACAGACCGAGAGCAAGACAGACACGTGAACTTAAATGTAATGGAATGAGTTTCCTCCATTTGTTGATAATGACTTTCACTCTAAGGCTTTGTAATTCTTTTTGGACAAATAAATGTCAATGATTTTGTTTCCCAGCTGTTCTTGACTTTCTTTAAGTCACTGCATGATTTGTTGTTTTTTCTATTTAAGCGATTTATTGATTTGACAGGTGTAGCAGTAATTAGGCAAAGGTATGGCTAAAGAAATTAGACTTAGCTTTTCAAAAAAATCAGTTTATTCACAGTTTATTCATGGGTTATAAATGGGGCAATTATTTTCTCACTTGGGGCCAGGTAGTTTTGGATAATCATCACATAAAAACTGCATTTTGTATCTACGCGGACAAATATGCCAAAAAAACCCCAACCCCAGAGAGAGAGAAAATAAATCAGGAAAGAGCCAGAAAAAAAGTGTTAGTATAAAACTAAACTGGTAGTTTGGCTGCAGCTGGCTGTTATTTTCAGTGATAGAAAGTAGTCAACTGGCCACTAGACACTACCGAGGCCCAGCATTTCCCTCGAACCAAAAAGCAGTACCAAGAGAGGAAAAAGCTGAATTTACATTTGCCAGGTGGCCAGGAATACAAAGATGTCCTCTGACCTAACAACATTCTGCCCTACTTCGTGTTGCAATTTAGTTCTACCCAAACAGTAAAATCAGATATTGCGATTTTAAGGTAATTAAAAGAAATAGTATACTGAAGGTAAAAATTTTAACTGCTCTCCATCAGCTTTGTATTCATTATATTCTGTGCAATTTTGGGATTTACAGTAATCAAACTATATTAATATCGGAGTTAGAGTGTTATTACCCCAAAAACCACAAATTAAACTGGAGACTGAAACCAAAACTTATTTTTTTAAAAAAAAAAAAAAAGGGGGGGGGGGCTATTTGAATAATTGAGTAATCTAAGTAGTTAGAAGTTAGAAATTTAAAATTTAATTTAATAAATTCAAGTAGTTTTAGAGTTTTGTTCCAAACAGACCGCACCAGAGAAACAGCCGCACTTTGTTTAGTATAGTCCTTGCAGCACTTTATGATTTCTCCCTTAGTGCATTTCATTTATTAGACCTGTCAATCTACACCCTCAGCAGCTATGCCTGGAACATTTCAAAGCAGACAATACAGCTAATTTTTTTTTCACAGTTTTTAACCTTATCAGGGTCACTGAAAACATTTTTATCTGGTGTTAAAAAGTCAACACATCATTCAACATATTTCTTTCTGGCTTTAAACAGACTTTAAAGAGATGATTTTCAAGCTATTGAGGGTTAGGTACCAAAGAAAATGATGACACCATTATAAAACTGAGGTCATGCTGTATTAAAAACTGACACAGAAGGTTCAGGCCAACCCCCACAACCCTTCTCTTTTTGTGTAGAATGGAAGAATATCTCTCTTTTCTCTCCCTGGCTCACTCATCAGATCAGTTTCACCTGATGGAGGATATTTGAAATGAACCAACTGTGCAAAGGTCCTCACATGCATGTGAAAACATGCGTGTGAGTACCAGCTAGGCATGTTCAAAATCTTGTAACAGTATTTTAGATTAATCCAGGCTTTTACTCAGTGTTACTAATTCAAAGTCACATGGCTCCTTCAGGATAGATGATCATGAGATCTTTAGTAGTCAGTTCTGTGTCCAAGTCCAGCGCAGAGCGAGATTCAAAGATTTCAGTTCTTTTTCAAGGACACGGAACATAAATGGATCATCCCCAACACTTAATCATCTGTCTCCTATTGTGCTGATCCTCCTCCCAACAAAATACTTTAAACCAACCGAGGCAATCAAAACTTCAAAAGTTCACTGTGGTAGCAGTAGTAGTGATGCTACATTGTAAGTTTTATTAATAAAGTAAGCTATTGCTTCTTGGTGAGAAAAACACAAACAAATAAACACCATTGCATTGTTTAGATCATTTTCATTTCCATGCACTGACTGCAGCTTAGATTTTTTGAACAAGATGATGTAGCTGTAGATGATGTAGATGATTTAGATGTTGCTTATTAATTTGAAGAGCAAGAGCTTTAGCCAGCCTTAAAGTTAGATATTGTTGATTTTTCTTCTCTCCACTATTTTGTAAACCTAATGTGCAAAGTTTGCAAGCGTCCTTGGTCAGATTTGTGGTCAAGTTCTTTGCAGCTAACAGATACTTATCAAACAAAGCACGATTTGCATTTCACTGTGATGTTTTTCTTGTCTTAGCTAGTGGTAATGACCATTAAAGTTGCAGTAATGGATTTTTAGATGAGATAATAAAATATGCTATCAGGATTTTTACCTTAAAACATGTACCAAATCTACTCAAAACACATTAACACTAATATTGCTTTTCCTACATGATCTCCATACATTTGATTTATGCAGCAAGCGGTATTGTTAATTGTCACATTTTATCCTAAAGCCCCATTACGCTTTTCCTGCATCCCGTCTACAGTACTTGTTGTTGACAGCATTTGACAGTTCCGTTTGTAACAAGATAATCAATGTTATGACTTACCTGTCAGTTGTTTTCATTTTGTGGATACATAGCTTTGATGCTGTAGTCTGTTATATAGACCTCACCAATACTTACTCCAGTATTTCACCTCTTAAGAAAACAAGCTTCTGTTCTTCTATTTTCATTCTATTGATCTATGCTGATAGAGAAAACCTATTTAATTACATGGTCCTGCTAAACATTAGAGACAAGATTATTATAGTGTCACAACCTGAAATAAACAGATTTGCACTACATTTAGTATTAAACATTAACATTTCCATACATATACACATCATTAAGGTTTCTTTATTATTCTTACAATATACTCATTTAAAAAAAGAAGAAGCACAAAACATTCAACAAAACAAAATTTAAAATTGTATTTTTGTCAATTATGACCCCTATCTATCCCTAGTAATCGATACTAATTACTGTCCTTTTTTTCATAGTAATCAGTGTAAAATACCTCTTTGGTTTTACATATCCTACTGAGGGATGAATACATTCTTTCCAAAACTGAAACTGGTCAGGCAGGGGCTTTCAGCTGCTGCACAGTTTGACATTTTTACAGGCTTGCACTGCTCTATAATGGTGTAAATGAAAGTTATAAAAGATAAATTCATTCCTCAACCAGCTCATCCCGTAGGTTCCAGCACCAGGAACATCATTCAGACAGATTAAATTGGATTTTAAATATGTCTTTATCTGTCATACACAAAGGGTAAAATCAAAAAGTGTGACTTCCAAAGGTTATCTGTTTTATGTCTAGGAAATTGATACGCTTTTTAAATCTTACAGAAATTCACTTTGCTTGCATTTAAACGTGCTATACCCCGATGAGGCAGATTCTGTCCTATTTATCATCAAGTCGACTCAGTTAAGGCTTCATGCACTCAACTTTCTCATTAGCCATGCTAGAAACAATAATTTTCATGTGCTGTGAGTTTCATTTCTGACCTACGCCTCCACATCGCTCCCTTCTGCTTCATTTGTCTTGTACAGGTTTAATATTCCCCTCTCTCTCTCTGCCCACCTGTGTGAGTACATCTTTTAACAGGAATGCAGATAAGAATATATACTGCTGTGAACAAACAGAAGAAATTCACTTTGAGGATGGGTTGGGGGGGTATGGTTGTGTATTTTCAGGGCACCAAAGCACTGGCGGTTCCCCTGGTAACCAACACTTCAATACTGCGGCTGAACCTGCGAGATAATTGGATGGAAGGCATGGGTGGAGCTGCTATAGCTGAGATGTTAAAAGGAAATTGCTACATTACAGGTGGCTTTACTGTGATTTACTGTGGACTCAACACGTTGTGTTCTTTTTTTCTTTGTACTTTTTAATGGCAAAGGTGGGACCCCAACATCAACATATTCAACATTTTCCGCCAATAAATATAAAACACTTACCATCTCAAGTTTCCCTTTTATATCTGTTCTTTCTCATATTGCACTAGTTGTATGTGCAGTTTGGAACATGAGAACACTCTAAGGAGAGGAACACCTATATATGGTTCCTCTACATATCATTATACCGAAGCCTTAATGTCCCATAAGGTGAAATTTATCCTATACACAAGATAATTGTAAGAACAAATCATTATACTGTGCAAGAAATTTCAATTTCCTGTAGGAACATGTTACTTTGTTGCAATTTATAATAAGATCTTGTGCAAACAACTTCAGATGCACACAGTCACATATTAGAGACAACACAGCTAATCAAGTTTTAACTCAGGAATGTCACGTTGTTTTTATGTATTTTTTATTTTTATAACATATTATATATTTGTCTGATAATTTCCACATTTTGTCTGATCAGTTCCTAACAACATTTAAATTTACAATAATGGATCACACCGCAGTGGGGAATATATTTCATCACAGTCTTACTGAAAGTGCAGTAACTAGTTTACGAATATTCCTCCATTGTTATCTTCTTCAATGCTATGTGTCAACATACTGCAGACCAGCTACCTGAACTTTACCCCCACAAAGGTTGATTATCTCATTAATAAATTTACATCTTCACTGTATATGATTCCAGATACAGTAGAAAATGAAAAAGCATCAAATCACAAGTATTTGATTCTCTGGTATAACTCTCAAAAATGCACCATAAAAGAGATAACTTGTAAGCTGGAGTGGAAATTGTCTCACCAATTTAGAAGATCATCATTTAGCAAATAGTTTGTTGCTCTATAAAAATAAATAAATAAAAAATCCACAAAGCTAGAACATCTTCATCATTGATTGAAAAAATAAGAACATTTGAGTTGACTTCAGTAATTCTTCCAAATCATCAATGTGTTTTTTTAGACTCCATTCCTACAAAAGTGTTCAAAGAAGTCCTACCATTAACCTTTAATGCTTCAATCTTACACATGTCTCTATTAAGCTACATATCACGGGCCTTTAAGATGGCAGTAGTTAAACCACTATTTAAAAAGCTAATTATAGGCCAAGCTCCAACACTCTTATTATCTCAGAAATAGTAGAGTAGTTGTAAAAAAGCTAACTGATCATCGGTTGAGGAATGGTTAATTGAAAGAGTTTTAGTCGGGCTTCAGAGCTCATCACAGTACAGAAAGAGCTTTAGTGAATGTTACAAATTATCTTCTTATGGCCTCTGTTAAAAAGTCCTTGGGCCAGGGCATGCGTTACCTGCATGGGAGGAGCATGATTCCCCCAGGGGCCAACAGCTAATCACAATGCTCACCCATTCTCTCCTCGCTGTGGCAATTAAAAGTGTAGTCGGAGAGTAATGCTGCTGCAGGCAAGTTATGGACTTGAGTTGAATCGGACTAAGGCGGGCAAGTAACCACATCCTTACTTGCCAGAGAGTGTGTGTGTTCGATGTGGGCTCGTGGCAAATAAAGTTCTTCAACTCTGACATCATTCCCCGTCTCTGACCGGATGTTATTACCAGGGAACAGTACCGAATCACGTTTCAGAGATAGTGGTCCAGGGCGTCCGCTATAACAAGTGGTCCTCCGAGCCGGATCTGATCCCTGTAATAAAAGCATGGAAGAACAGCATGCCAGGAGACACCAGGCTCTTCCTGCCCATCTTCGAGGAGTGACTATCTCCCCCGGGGGAGATCATCACTTCCCAGATCAGCACACACTCCCCCGCCGCGTCGGAGACATGAGGAGGAGCCTGGTGGGGCTCATGGATCTCCTCGGTCTGAATCTCCGGTCACTCAGGATAGTTTCCAGTCTGGATGGGACATCAGGGATCGATGTGAAGAGGACACCGAAATGTTGCAGCAGGAGAATAATAGATTGAGAAGCGAGCAGAAAGCCTTGCTGGAAGCATTGGACCAGTTGCGATTGTAGAATGCAGAGCTGGCTAAGAAAAGTGACCAGAGAATGGGCCAGCTTCACCCCCAGGCTACAAATGAGACAGAGCAGTTACGTGAGCAACTCAACCACCTCAGCAGTGTTATTACTCAGTTGCAGAGTGCATGTGATACACGACCTCCTCAACAGTTCAAGCGAAGGGACCAGTCTGCCAAGCTGGATCGGCAGGCCAGTCCTGGCCATCACAGTGGAGCAGAGTCTGATGGTGGCAAGAAACTGCATGCAGCTTCAATCCAAGGAGTTAAGGGACACATTCTCCCAGGACTTGATATGACAATGCCATATGAGGGGGCTCTGCGGGAACCTGTTAGGCAGCCAGATTCAGCTTGTCAGCACCCTTAAGAACATATAGCAACACGCCGGCATTCTCTCGAAAGGTACGCTGTTCATTCCAGACATCTTACCCGTCCCTCGAAGAGGATGGCAGCATCGGTATTGGACACCCAGCACTCTCGACGAAGAAGTTGTGATTACTCACCTGAGGGTTTCACCTTGTCAGAGAGAAAACAGCATGCAGCATCATTGTGTCACCCTCGCAGTTTGGACAGGGATTATTACCGTTTCCCAGAGCTGCCAACTGGAGGTTGGGTTGCCCCCATCGAGAGTATGGGTCGCATTACCAGGCCCCTCCAAGACCCGCGCACTCGGAGTACTATTCGTACTCTAGATCCCGACAGCCGAGCCCGGTGGGGGGTCAGGAGCGCTATTATAGGGGGTCAGCACCTACAATCCCATATTTTGTACACCCAAATCCACAAGAGTTTGCAAGGCTGAGGATCGCATTGGAAAATAATATACCCCCAGCCGACGCAACAGAACAGTTTAAATTCCAAATACTGGTAGACCATCTTAAGCTGGAGGAGGCCCTGCTTATTGCTGACTCCTATAGCCATTCTAGGCACACTTATACCAACACAATGGATGCCCTCAACCAGGAGTATGGACAGCAGCATCAACTGGCACTCCAGCGTATAGCAGACTTAATGGACGGGCCACCTGTTATGTCAGGAGATACCAAGACCTTCAGGATGTTTGCACTAAAGGTAGGCTCCTTGGTCAGCATGCTTGCACAATTAGGAAGGAAAGGAATTGTGGAGCTGGAATTTGGGTCCCACGTGTCAAGGTTGCTTGAAAAACTGCTGCATGATTTGAGGTCCAGCTTCCGTCGATATATTCATCTTCAAACCATCCCCATTCCTACACTGACTGACTTCTCACACTGGCTTGAATATGAGCTGCAGGTGCAAGTCGACATGGCATGGTTCAGCTCAAAGAGAGCAACGTTTCTGATGGCAGAGGACAGGAGGAAGTTTACCGGTAAGACAACCACAATACTGTTGAACACTGAGCCCCAAGAATCTGGTGCTGCTCCAACAGTGGCAGCAGCCAAACACAATGGGAAGAAGTATTGTCCTTATTGCAACAGCGTCGATCACTCTTTAAACAACTGCTCAAATTTCAGACAGCTACACAAAGCACAAAGGCATCACTGGATCAAGAGTAACAACCGGTGCTGGTGCTGTGGGAGGACCCACCATGCTGCAGAATGCGATCTAAAGATGCGCTGTAAGACATGCAACCAACAACATCTCCTTGTCCTCCACAAACTCAATGACAGGTCCGCTAAAAATGTGCAAGCCGCCCAGGCCTCTTCTGCAACAACAGGCTCAGGTACTACACGAGTGGGAGAGGAAGAGTTGTACATTGACAAACCACTAGGAGGATGTAAAGTCCTATTGAAAATCAGTTTTACTGAGGAATGGCGATCGAGTCCTAGAGACTTATGCTGTCTTGGATGACGGGTCTGAGCGGACCATCCTTCTCAGCACCACTGCGCAGCAGTTAGGGTTAAAGGGGCAGCCTGAAGAATTACCGCTGAGAACCGTGAGACAAGATATCCATGTCCTCCAAGCGGAGGCTGTCTCCTTCAACATTTCTCCTGCTTCCCAGCCAAGATGGATCTTCAAAATCAACCGAGCTTTCACAGCCAAGACACTTGGGCAAGCAGAGCACACTCACCCAGTGGATGCCCTTAAGCGGAAATATCATCATTTCAGGGGTCTGGCGCTGCAAGAAATTGACAACGCTAAACCAGTGTTGCTAATAGGATCAGACCACCCGCATTTGGTCACCCCAGTGGAGCCAGTCCCACTCGGCCCCCCAGGTGGGCCTGCAGGTGTCAAGACACGCCTTGGCTGGACTTTACGTGGGCCAACTCAAGGTGTAGTGCAGCAGCTGAGAGAGCAGCAGTGCTACTTCACCACCTGTCAGTCCCCAGGTGTAGACCTGCTGCGAGATGTAGAAAGACTTTGGCAAATGGATGTGCTACCCTGGCGCAGTACCAAAGTCAGCATCAGGGTCACAACAAGACCAAGACGGTATTAAGCTTCTCGAGACTCAAACAGAGAGGGTAGAGATTGGGGGAGTTCAACGGTATGCAACACCACTCCTACGAGCTCCTGACATGCCTACCCTGTCTGCGCCAAAGGAGGCAGTACTCCCTCTGCTCCGCAGCACAGAGCGGAGGTTGTTAAACTCATCAGAGAAGGTCCTTTGCTACACAACTGAGATTCAGAGACTACAACGTGAAGGTTTTGTTGTCAAGCTTGAGCCTGGAGCTGACAACACTCCTGCTAGCTGGTATATCCCACACCAAATGGTGCAGCATAACGGCAAGAATCGAGTTGTGTTCAATTGCTCATTCCAGTTCCAGGGGCAGAGCCTCAATGACCATCTCCTCCCTGGACCTACTTTGGGGCCAACCCTCCTGGCAGTGCTTTTGAGGTTTCGACAGCACCCCGTCGCCTTCAGCAGCGACATCCGTAGGATGTTCCATCAGGTCCGCCTACTAAAAGAAGACCAGCCACTCCTCCGATTCCTCTGGCGGGACTGTAAACGTGACGACCCCCCTTTTGTATAGGAGTGGAGAGTACTCCCTTTCGGCACCACATGTAGCCCCTGCTGCGCTATCTTTGTGGAAGACGTCCGTGAGACTGTGATGCAATCATTCTATGTCGACAACTGCCTCCGGAGCTTGGCGACAGAGGTAGAAGCTAAAGTACTTGTGGAGAAACTACAGAAGCTTCTGGCTGATGGAGGTTTTGAGTTAAGACAATGGGCCAGTAACCAGCCCTCAATCATCAGCCACCTGCCCCCAGAGCTTAGATCAGACAGCGCTGAGCTCTGGATCACACATGGCAAACCTGATCAGAAAGAAGCTGCACTGGGGCTCCATTGGCACTGCTCATCAGACAGGCTGTACTACAAGCTCCACACTGTTGACCATCCTCAAGTGACCCTGCGCACAGTCTACAAGGTTTTAGCGAGTCAGTACAACTGACTTGGCTACATTGTGCCATACACCACAAGAGCTAAGATTATCGTTCAGCAGATGTGGGCTTCACGGACTGACTGGGATGACCCCAACCTTCCTAAGGACCTTCTCCAGGCCTGGAATGAATGGGAGCAGGACTACATGGATGTACTATAGATTGGAGGTTTAATAGTAATGTGTTCACAAGATTAAAACAAAAAACAAGCCCAATTAATCTTTAGATGGATATGAAAAGTAAATGAGTCATGTTTACTGAAAAACACTGAAGCCAGTGATACCATGCTGTTATCATCAGCAGGCTATCAAGCTCCATTGACCACTCTATCATGTTTATGTGAACGATAAAGATAATCTTTTTCTGTTGAGGCTGGCAGAATTGTTGCAAGTATAAAACTGGTTTAAACAGAACGTTTGACCTGATGACTTATAGAAAGTGAAGGTATCACTCAATACAAGATAATGGTGGAGGTCAGCGTGAATGTCTGTAAATGTGCACACTTACAAAATGTTTTACTGAGAGACACAAATTTTGCTTGAAGAAAACTCGCTTATTGGGATTCATCATTAGAGCAGTCTATCCAGTCTGTTTCAGTAAAAGCCAAAGCATGTTGCAGCTGCTGCTGGTGCTAGATAAAATATTAGGGATCAGGAGAAGTAGTTATAATTCAGTTTCGGGGGGGATAGGAATGCCTGTAATCTTGAACCAAATTGCTGGTCCAGTTGATTTGCTGCAGTTGAAATGCACATTGTCACTATATACTAAATGCATCATTTCTCAGTTACTTTTGTGTTTTGTGTTTTCAGATGGTGATAAGCCATCAAAAAATCCAACTTAATTCATTTTTAATTTAAAAATTAGTTGATTAACTTAAATAGTATGCAATAGCTAGGAAGGTCATTTCAGACACATTGCTATAGTAGTGAGAAGACCGTATCTAAAAACAGTGATTTATTTTTCAGATTCAAAAGCTTTATCAAATGCACTCCCCAGCTAAACCTATCGCATTTAAACTGAATTTTCCTCTACCTCCTCCCAAAGGAAATTTACTCCAAAAATAGAGACAGTATGTGAGAAATATGTGAAATTCAGAAAAAATAAAGCAGAGGAAATGATTCATCTTTTTTTGTGAAATACTGTACTGCAATAATGACAATTACCAAATGCTCAAAAACATTTTGAGAGTGCTATTTGGTCTTTTTGGAACCTTCTTGTGTTTAGTTTACTTGCCACTTTTATTGGTCTCTTTTCACCTTGCATGATGTTTCAATTTGTGTGTCAATCCCAGAGGTGGACCTGTCCAATAACAATCTAGAGGTTTATGGAGCCAAAGCCATAGCTGGCATGCTTAAAGAGAACAGCACCCTGGTGAGACTCATTCTGTCAGGAAACCATTTCACAGACCGGTCCACTGAACACCTCTGCCCAGCGCTGATCACCAACACCAAACTACAGCACCTCGACCTCAGCTACAATGCTCTGGGGGAGAGTGCAGGTAGCAAAGTAATTAGTTTTGTAAAGGTCTCATAGTTTCTATAAGGCTGTAGCCTTTCAAAGATTGAAACAGTACCCATGAGTCCAGTTTTTATTAAGATGATATTAAAGATTTGTGCAAGAGATACAGTTTTTCACATATTTTCCATTAACAGCACCAGATAACTGAACTTCAGGACCCAGAAATTATATGTTGCATCAATAAATCGCAAAAGACCTTAAGGCAGTGTGGGGAATAGGATGTAAATTCTTTGTCTTTGCTTTTCATCTTAATTTGGGCCTTTAAAAAAATCTGCCCTCTGATTTCCTGATTTCCACGAGAAACCAGCAGCAGAGATTAGAAGGCACAGACAAGATCCATTACTAATGTTGGCCTAAGGTGTAGCTGCTAGTTTTAATTTTGGTTAGCCAGATAGGGTTAAAGGGTTAACTGGGCAAACTGGAGAGCACAGTCCAAAATATTAGTGTAGACTACTATAATTTCCTATATAATTGTCCTGTAATTTCACTTACAGTGTAGATAAAACCATTGAAAATATAAGGCACACAACTATTTAAATACACTCATCGGTGCATAGTTTCCCTTTCCATCTTTTGAAGATAGTTTTTAAAGACAAGCAAAATAATTTATTTAAGGATTTTATTGCCTAAAATCAACGTTATTCTGTGTTTACTTTTCTTTTTTATCTGTACATAAATGAGTAGAACAAAATTGATATAGGATTTTTAAGGCCAAGAGATAACAATACAGAAAATTGTATATACATATTAGCCAGTATTCGTTTTTCTTTCAGACCCACAAAACATAAACAGATTTCCTAGCATTTGTTATCTATAGTTATTTGTCTAGAGTGCCCTCTGTTGGCCAAACTATGTAATGCCAATACTCATAACATGGCTAAAGAATGTTTCTCCCACTACTTACTTACTTTTTTTTTAATCACACGTTATAAATACTGATATCTGTAGATCAGCAAGTAGTAATATCGGCCTTTGTATCAGCCCACCCATAAATTGGTTGGATACCATCAATGATTATTTTCAATATGCCAATAGCTGCTGAAGTCATCGTATATGCTATTTTTGCTCTCTTTTCCATTTATAATTAATGTACAATAAAGGCCTGTGAAGTGACTATTACTGCAGATTTATTTAACATTAGGACTATACTGTATGTAAGCATGTAAGCAGAAGGGGGGTGGGAGAGGGGTTCTGCTGTCATAAAAGATTTTGCCATAATGGTGCAGCCTTATCTCCAAGCAGTCATAAGACAGCATGCAGCAGCAGATTGTGGCATTCAAAGGTCAAGCACATTTCGCCTTCATTAAAACCTCTTTCAATTATCATGCGGATGAGCTTTGTGACAGGCACCCTGTGGAAGAATGGCAGACCAGAGCACTGAGCATCTGATATAGATAATTGAAAATAAATCTACATGAGGGAAAGGGGACACCACCATATCTTATCGCTATGATTCATCCCCACATGCTCTATTCTGTATTCCTCAATGCTTCTGCTGATATGTCAAAGTACATTTTTATGTGTTTTAAGCGCACTCTAGCATGTACCAAAAGTGTAGCAGTCAAACACACTGACATTCATGCTATGGCATTATGGCTTTTCCAGCTGAGCACATTATCTTGAGTGATTATGAACCACCGAGTGTCATGCAGTTTTTTATATTTATGGAAAATGTCAGTGACATGATGAGGGGTATATATTTTTGTCCAGGATAAGTTACCTCTATAGTCGTCACTCAGTAAAGCGTTAAGGGAATATAGTGGAGATGATACAGTGCTTTGAAGAGCAGAGTTGTTGTTTTTTTAAAAACGTTTTTCTGACTATGTATAATAATTCATAAACATGTCTAAACTATCTTGTTACCATTTTTACACATTATATTATATTATATAATGTGTATCTAATATATTACATTAGATACACATTATAATTATTCATGAATAATGAATAAACAGACTCACTATTTCTAAACAAGCCTTTATATGAAGATGAGTACATTTCATTGTTTTAAAAATGCAATAATGCAACTATTTATTTTATCAAATTGCTCTGAATTATTCTTATGTTCATTTTCTATTTTCACAAGGGGAACACATGGGAGATGCTCTGTCTGAGAACACCGGGCTGAGATCGCTAAACCTGGCATGGAATTGCATTCGACAAAAAGGAGCAGCAATGCTGGCCAATGGTCTTGGGGTAATACACTTGGACATGAATGTGTAAACCCTAGATTAGCTTTCTGACCTTATGCAAGACAAAGAAGATCTAATGGTACAGTGAAAAATAAGACTAAAGTACATTGATTAGTTGAAGCCATCAAATAACAAATTATCCTAAGTTAAAATAGCGGTATGTCAAATAAAAGTGGCTAGAAATATCACATCTGGTGTTAGGCATAAATAATTTACCAGTCAAGTAAAAATATTTAACTTCATGTGCATAACCAAAAAATGTATACTTGAATCTAGTAACCCTCCATTTTCTAACTCCACAACCCCGTTACATCAGATTTTGCACAACTTTCCCTAAAGCTATGAAAGGCTTTATATAACTTCCTCATATCTGCATTTGTAACCAATGAAACCAGTAAAAAACAAAAAAAACATGAAAGTAAGTCCCTCTTTAAAATGGCCTTGAACTGAAAAATTGGGAATCCAATAAAAGGAAAGTACAAAAAAAAAAACCGTTTGTGAACTGTACCTTTGGCCACCCACCTTTGACAATATTTATACATAAAGCGATTTGTTTATCCGAATTGATAATGACTGAAATTTTGACTAAGTGGAGTGGAAACTCCCAAACCAGGGATACTTATCTGGTAAAAGAATTATAACAACATCACAATGATGCTACACTGACATCAAAACCTATTAAGATTAATAATATGGTAATTGCTAATTGCAGACGACATCTCATATCTTGGCTGACTCCCTTATCCTGCTTTGTGAAGCAGCCCCCCAGGCAGGTATTCATCAAGCATCTCACTGCAAGAGAAGCTATACAGTAGTTTTCCTTTCCCTATCTTATTGACCAACATGGCCAAGTGGACCCTGATCACTGGCAGGTGTGATTGATTCACACCCTGGCAGGGATTTTTAATTCAGAATCTACACTTCACTGTCATTTTTAAAGTAAGATATTTCTTTTGTTGAGATTTAATCTTGTTAGAGAACTTGTTCAAGTTGTCCCTTTAAGTAGTGATAGATTCTTTTCTGTGTTTCAGGAAAATGTTTTTCTTAGAATACTGGATCTGTCATTTAATGGCTTTGGGAAAGAAGGAGCCAGTGCTTTAGGACAGGCTCTTAAAGAGAACAATGTTTTAGAAGAGTTAAATATCAGGTATGTGTCTTTGTTGTGTTACTATCAAATGATCAGATTAGTGAGTAGAAATTGAGAGCTCAAGCCACGATCATTTTCACAAATTAGAATTCACAATCTTATCTTTCACATTGTTTATAAACTTCCTGGCGAGTTCAAACTACTCTTCCAGACTGATTCTAATCGATCTTAAATGGTGATTGCCCTTTTTCTTAAAGAAAGAAATCAAATAATCCAGTTTCCTCTGCCGTTTGCTTAACTTTTTTAGTAAAACAGACCTTGCTTTACAAATTCACTTGGATGAATAATGCCATTTAAAAAAGTAACACTTTATGATTGCTTCACTCACACTCCAACACACACTCTTGTTTTCTGCTTTTGTTTCTCGCCACAGTAACAACCGAATACCCCCTGAAGGAGCGATCCACCTCGCCATGGGCCTCAAAGTAAACAAGACAATCAAATCCCTGAATGTAAGCTGCTGAAAAGAGATTGGTTCTAGCTTCACGAGCAATGGGGGGCATCAGTGGATAAAATAGGATAAATAAATGGATCAGTGTACTTCATTTTAATGTAAATGCTCAAGCTGAATTGTCAGGTGCTCGGCTCAGCTGACTGAAAAAGTTATAGAGAACATGCTAAATTGAGTTAAATTCTGCCAGTCGGATACTGACTGCTTGTGCGCTCCTGTGTTCGAAATCTTTCATAGCATATGCAAGTTTTAAAATGTACGCAAACTAATGAACAATCCTTGAAGATTAATCAATTGAAAATTCTTTGATATAAGAAGCATCCAAATATTCCTGAAACAAATTATACTTTGTTTGAAAGCATAAAGGTTCACAATAAAATAATAAAATCATTGTGAGAAACTCAGACTAAGCAACAATAGCAGCAGTTGCTTCTTTTAAAATGATAGCATACTACCCAATTCTGAATATAGCTGAAATATTATTTTAACATGTAAATTAAATAGAATGCAATGTTTTCCAAATCTCATAAAGCAGAAAAATATACAGTTTTAAGAAAAATATTAGCTCACATTGAATTTGATGGCAGCAACAGAGCCGTAATTGTCACTGTGTGGCCCTGCTTCTTCTAACAATAGTCCGTAAACAGTCCAGCAGTTGGACTTTTGGGAGAGGAATGTTATCCCATTCTTATCTGGTAGGATTTTAGCTGCTCAGTAGTCCTGGGTGGTCTTTGTCATTGTTTTTTATTTTTTCAGCTTAAAATGCTTTCAGGCGGTGAAAAGTCTGTGCTGCCGGCAGGACATTTAAGCACTTGTACTCTCTTTCTAAGAAGCAATTGTTTTGATAGCTGCAGTATATTGTTTTTAGCATTGTCTTTTTCAGACCTTCTTAAAAAAGATGTTGTTTGGATGGCAGCATATTTTGCGCAATAAATAAAATCTGTTTCAGTCTTGATGATTCCTTTCCAGAAGCACGAGCTGCAATTTCCATAGGCATTGATATACCCCCATACCATCAGAGGTATGCAGGATTTTAAACTAAGTTTTGATAATAAGTCAGACAGTCCCTCTCCTCTTTAATCTGAAGGATGCAGGGCCCATGGTTTCCACAATGAGTTTCAAATTTTGACTTGTCTAACCACAGAACAGTTTTCCACTTTGCCTCAGTCCATTTTAAATTAGCTTTGGCTGACAGAAGATGGCATTTCTGGATAATGTTCACATATCTTTGCATCACAGAGCTTTAACCTGAATTTGTGGATGGCACGGCGAACTGTGGTCACAGAATTCTGGAAGTGTTCCTTAGTTCAGTTTCCCTGATAGACACCCTGTCTGTTTTTAAAGACAGTGCTGCTCTAAGATACTCTTTTCATACCTAATCATTTTCCTGACCTATACTCAGTTTTTCCAGATGTTTCTTTCTAGTAAGCTATTTTTTTTAGCCTTTTTTTACTCCTCTTTGGAGACGTGTTGCTGAATTAAAAATGGCATAATATTCTTCATGAAATAGTAAAATGTCTTGGTTTAAGCATTTGAATTGTTTTCTATCTTCTACTGTGAATAAAATATGAGTTTATGACATTTTTACATTTCATTACATTTTTTGCTCTCTGTTTTATTTTGTTTCTGTTAACATTTTCATTTTGGAATTGTGTTTGCACCTATACTGACTTCATTATTTGAAATGCTGGTTTCTCATGAGCGAACTGACTCCA